CCCTTTTCTAAGAATGCTTCCCACCTAAAAGATGGGCCCTGTAACTCTCATTGTCACTAATTCCAGCAACATAATTTGTGATCAGGGCTGGACAGTGGCCCAAGCTGGACTAATTAGATTAATCCTCCTGCCTTCTGAATAAGGAAACAGAGAGTCTTGTAAATGAGCTCTGGGTTATGGGTCAGCAAGACTCAGGAAATGAGGGCTCTGGATTGGCATGATTTTAGAGTTGCCAAATAAAATACAGGCCTGCTGTATTTTTGCTTGCTAAATCTGGCAACCACACATGATGCGCCACATAAAAGTGGAGTTAAGAAAGCTATTCTGCAAAAAGGAGTAGAAACATAGAGATAACAAAAATTAACAACTATGGTGAAAGTGTAGTGGGGAAGTGGGGAAGTTTCAGGAAAAGGAAAAATATCCCAAGTGTTGCCTCAGTCACTGACAACTTTTCAGTCCTTAGTTCCAGTCCCTTGAGGAATGTGGCTGCATTTCTTGCCCTTGAGTTCTGTGAGATACCTTGCCTGTTTTATAAGAGATTTTTTTTTTCTTTAGATAGCTCAGCGGAAATACATTTCTCATATCAAGCATGTCCAAAGGCATATATAATGTTGTCACGCTTCGAGAAAAAGTTTTTATTTTTTTGTAAATTTTAAAGAATTCACAGGGTCCGTGAAATAGATGAATAGGAAACTTGTTTCTTATTTGCCAAGTAGGAAAGTTTGCCTCAAATACAATGAGATGTCTGGATCAGTACTTCTGACATTGTATATTTGGAAACCTGCATAGGTCTCCTTGGTTTCCTTAGAAGTATAGTTAACGAGTAATGTACATTCCCTAGGTGTTATTCTAAAATGTTGTCCCCAAAGTAAAACGTATCCACAGGATAAAGTTAGACATTAGGCATAATTCAATTTCAATAATGTTTATTCCTCTTCTTCCTTTTCCTTGTCTCTTTCTTTCTCCTTTTCTTTTATCTCCCTTGTCCCATTCTCTAATCTCCCTGGCTAAATTCCTCCAGAGGAAAAAAAAGGCCATCAAAAAAGTCACTAACACCTCAGTGTAAACTACTTGAAAGTGCTATTCACACTTATAGTATTTGCATTTTAAAAGAAGACCTTTAAGAGAGAGGAAGCCAACAGAATATTTCTGGGCTTCCCAGAACAACAACCTTACTATATTGCTATGGACAGCAACCTACACACAACCCTATTTAATGTGGTGTTTACATTAAATTAATATTAGCTCATTGGGTGAGACAGGTCATCATGGTGAGTATTCAAGAAATCATGAATACTCGTGGTCTGGGTCCATCTACCCAAACTGGGACATGGTTAGGCCTGGAGATGACTTTAACTGGTGTGGATCTAGGGAAAGGATCCATGGATATGTAAGCTAGGGACAGTCGTCATTGTCAACGGAGCAATGGCCCAACCCCCAGAACAACAAAGAAACAGAACTGACAGGGGACCTGAAGGAGGGGCAAGAGAGACGATCTAAAACATACATTCGGTAGTATATTTCCAAGGTTAGTTGTAGGGAGAGGCCAAGTAAGAGAACTACATTACAAGGTTCTCGAACCTAAACAGAACACAGGTGGCTAGGCATTTGAATTTTACCCACAAGCTAATTGTTCCTTCTCTCCAAAAACATCTTCCCCTGCCTAAAACTTTACTACCTGGATGTTCTTTTTATTCATTAAACCATCTCTTTTTGGCATTTTAAGGAAAATTATGTCAATCATACCTTAACATAAACTATGAAGAAACCAGTCAGTTCCAAGCTATATTTTAAAACATGGGACTGTTGTGTAGTAGCATAGCTATTTGGGAGGCTGAGGCAGAAGTTGTCCAGGAGTTCAAGGCTATAGTGAGCTATGATTGCACCACTGCATTCAAGCCTGAGTGACAGAGACCCTGGTCTCTTAAAGATAAATAAATAGGCTGGAAGCAGTGGCTCAGACCTGTAATCCCAGCACTTTAGGAGGTAGAAGTGGGAGAATGGCTTGAATACAAGAGTTCAAGACCAGCCTGGGCAACGTAACGAAAGGAACCCTGTATCTACGGGGAAAAAAAAAAAAAGTTAGCCAGGGGTGTGTGCCTATAGTCCCAGCTACTCAGGAAGCTGAGGTGGGAGGATCGCTTGAGCCCAGGACTTTGAGACTACAGTGAGCTATGATTGTGCCACAGTACTCCAGCCTGAGCCACAAATGAGATCCTGTCTCTGAAAAAAAAAAAAAAAAAAAAATTTAATAAAAATAAATAAATAAAATGTGTAAATGTTCTCATGGTTAGGGAGAAGGAAGAATTAATTTTGAAACGGGGGGTATTTTGAGGGGCAGGCAGGCCCGGTTATGACAGGAAGGCAGCGTTGATGACACTTGGTACTGAAGTGCTAGAATTATGAGACAAGAATTGGAAGACAAACACAAAAAAGCCTTTAAATTCAATTTTTCTAGTTTACATTTTCTACAGTTTATCCATCCCACAAGATGACTCCAGAACCCAGACGGAAAGAGCAATATATATAGTACCTTTATGCAAATTGCATCCTTTCCCCCAGGTGGTGAAGTGCCATCCCAGGATCCACAGCCCAGTGAACAGAGGGGCTATAGATTCCAGCCCCCTGTCTGCATTTTCTTAGCTGGGCATCATTGTGCACAACTTATACAACCATATGTGCAGCAATCCCTCCCTCCATTCCTCCTCCACCCTCCTCATACATACGGCTACCTGCTACTTAATGAAATATGACTCAACCATCAAGACCCAGCTCAAGTAGCACTTATGTTGTGATTTTCACAGGAGAGGCCTCTCCTCTACTGCCTTATGCTAACACTAGAGACGCATCGTAGAATAGTGACTAACAGTGCCAACTCTGGAGCCAAACTGCTTGGATGCAAATCCCAGCTATGCCATTTCTTAGTGGTGTAACTGTGGACCTGCGCCCTGTTCCTTTATCTATAAAATGGAAGAATGTAAGTAACAATCTCATAAGTGTGTTATGGATATATAACAAGATAACACGTGTAATGTACTTAGAACAATTTTTGGCAAATAATGAGCATTCAGTAGGTATTTGGAATTGCTGTAACTCAGCTGTTGCTAATAGCATATTATTATCACAGTGAATTTTTGTTAGGCTGATATGTGCCTAGTTTTTCTAGTTAAGGAAAAAATTGTATTCATTTTTATATTCCTAGGACCTGGTTAAAAAAAAAAAATTACAGGTTCTAGGCTGAGCAAGGTGGCTCACACCTGTAATCCCAGCACTTTGGGAGACTGTGGGGGGTGGATCACGAGGTCAGGAGTTCAAGACCAGCCTGGCCAAGATGGCGAAACCTCGTCTCTACTAAAAATACAAAAATTAGCTGGGTGTGGTGGCCTGCACCTGTTATCTCAGCTACTGGGATAGCTGAGGCAGGAGAATCGCTTGAACCCAGGAGGTGGAGGTTGCTGTGAGCTGAGATTATGCCCCTGCACTCAAGCCTGGGTGACAGACCAAGACTCATCTAAAAAGAAAGAGAAAGAAAGAGAGAGAGAGAGAGAGAGAGAAAGAAAGAGAGAAAGAAAGAGAGAGAGAAAGAGAGAAAGAAAGAAAAGGAAAAGTACAGGTTCTAGAAGATACTCTGTAAACTTTTGTGAATAAATGAGTAAGCCTCTGGGTCACAATAGCCAAGGAGATTCCTCTCTTGGGAAAACAGGATTCCAGAGAGAGAGAAGTCCCAAAGAACAGTATATCCCACGTTTCCGGCCCAGATGCCCCAGATCCACTTAAATGGAAAGTAGAGAGAGTTTTGTGGTATGAACCTGTGGCGCTGCTTGAAAAAGCAAACGCCCCATTGCTTGAGGGCCCAGGAGAAAAGGTTTGCGAACAGTGGGTGAAGAGAGGATATTCCTTCCAAAGCTAGACCCTGCCAATCCCAACTAAGAAGCCCCTCCTCCCACGTGTTTTATACAAAAGGTGAGATGGATCCATGTGAAATGGGGCAAGCCTTTGATTGGACAAGCTCAGGGATAATAGTAAACAGAAGGTACTTTAGATTACACATCTCTAGGCATAGGAAGCTCACCAAGACATTGAATGGCGCTTAGAATAGAATAGTGATTAGCACAATGTTGGTACTCAATAAATAAGTGTTAGATTGATCCATAAATTATAGAAAGAATAAAATGATGAACAAACTACAAGGAATAAGATTATCAATCAATCAGTCGTGGTGGCGAATCCTCAAATTATATTGTGAAGGTGACTGGTTAACAATAGTCTACAGTGTCCTGAGGAACACTGGATCAAGGAATTACTAAAAGGTCTGGAGTCATTTGCATTTGAAAAAGGCTGTATGCTATACAGTGGAGAGTTTTTAAAAATTAGCTTAATAAGAACTCTGCTTAGCTTTATTTGGTTAACAGCATGAAACATTTGTCCCTTGCAAAGTGTTCAACAGTCTATCTCAAAGTTTAAAAAACACATAAAACTAAAATTAAATTTATGCTTAGAAATATAAACTATAATGCACGTTTGAAAACAAGGGCAATTTCTGGTATGAAGCTATGGCATTTTTAAAAAATTCTGTGGTGGTTAAATACTGTTAGTGTTTTTATTTATTTATTTTTTGAGATGGAGTCTCGCTCTGCTGCCCAGGCTGGAGTGTAGCCGCATGATTCTGGCTCACTGCAACCTCTGCCTCCCAGGTTCAAGCGATTCTCCTGCCTCAAACTCACGAGTAACTAGAATTACAGGCACCTGCCACCAAGCCCAGCTAATTTTTGTATTTTAGTAGAGACAGGATTTCATCATGTTGGCCAGGCTGGTCTCGAACTCCTGACCTCAAGCAATCCACCTGCCTCGGCCTCCCAAAGTGCTGGGATTACAGAAACGAGCCACCGTGCCCGGCGTATCTTTATTATTTTTAAAAATTAATTTTTTTGACAAGAGGAAAGAGTTTTCGAATAAGCGAGAAGCAGCGGTTCCCAGCGCAGCTGAGAGACAGTCCCTGCGGCTGAGAGTGGCAGCGGGGGCGGGCGGTCCCAGCGGCTACCGGTGGCCCTGGGCACTGGCATTCATATGGTCTCGAATGCTGATGGCCTGTTTGAGCAGACCTTCCACGCTGCGGAAGTAGACGCTGCTGTCCACCAGCTTCTTCACGGCGCTGCGGTCGTAGTCCGCGGTGTAGATGGCTCCCTGGCTCTGCGCCTCCCAGCGCTGCATGGCTGCCTTGTGCCGAGCCAGCTCCGGGAGGGAGCGGCGCACGTGCTCCTGCAGCCAGTACAGGGCCACCGAGGGCTCATTCGCCAGGACGGAGATTCTCTCAGTGAATGTGTCCGTAACGTTCTTCCCCTTGAGCTGCATCTCCGGTTCCTCCATAGCGACCGCAGCCTCTTTATTTTTTAATATATGTTTTAAACATGGTAAAATAAACAGCACAAAATTTCTGTTTCAACCGTTTTTAAGTGTTCAATTCAACGGCATTAAGTACATTCGCCATGTTGTGCAACCATCACCACCAACCGTTTCCAGAAGTTTTTTATCATCCCAAACAGAAACTTTATCCATCAAACAGTAACTCCACATTCCACTCTTCTCCAGCCCCAGCTAACCTCTATTATATTTTCTGTCTCTATGAATTTGACTATTCCATTTACCTCTTATAAGTGGAATCGTACAATCTTGCATATTTCACTTAGCATCATGGGTGTGTGTGTGTATTTTGTTTTTTGGGTTTTTTTGTTTGTTTGTTTGTTT